CTAGATCGCCGACGGCCCGCCTGTACGAAAGGGTGCCGAGACTGTCTGTTAGAGAAGAGTCATCGATCAGTCGCACAGCCCTCCTCTGGTCAGCATCGAGCATAAATAATGTAGTCGGGGCGGCAGCATCCCAAATGTGTGAGCAATACTCGAGACTAGGCCTTATCTGGGCCTTGTACAGAATGGGAAGATCATGCGGAGAAAAGTACTTCTTAGCCCTAAACAAATAGCCTAGCTTTTTCCCAGCAGCTGCAGCTATTGACGAGACGTGTTCGTGCCAGATCAGGTCCTCGGTGATCTGGACTCCGACCAACCGAAATGAATGGCTCTTTGGCAGAACTCGGCCATCCATCGAAACCGGATAAGCTTTAAGACGCTTTTTGTTCGTCAAGGTACAGTACTGTGTTTTGGAAGCATTAAACTGTACAAGATTGTTGCGTCCCCAAGCAGTGATAACCTCCAGGTCTCTTGTCAGAGAGGAAGTCGTCGCTAATCTTCTATTTTCCAGCTCAGCGGCACAGATCGGCTGTCACTCTGAATTCCGGCATGTAGAGTGCTGTCATCAGCGAAACTGTGAAGACAGATCCCTGGGGATCACCCCCGTTGACGTTGTGGGATGAAGAGGAGAACCCGTCAATTACGACGGATATCTTGCGGAAAGAGATAAAGTCAGCCACCCATCTGCAAAACGTTTGCTTAAAAGGGCAGCGTGTCACAGCGGATCGAAAGCTTTCATGATGTCAAGAGCAACGACAGAAGCCTCACGATAAGACTGGATGAGCTTACTCCACAATTGCTTGACGTAAGCTAGGAGGTCCCCTGTGGATCGCTGGTGCCGTAAACCATACTGCCTGTCACTAATCAAGCTGTGACGTACGAGGTAATCCAGAAGCTCGCGTTTTAGGCACTTCTAAATCACCTTACCTATAATAGAATCCAGAGCTATAGGCCTGTAGTTGTAAGGGTCAGTCTTAGACCCCTTTTATGGGATGGGTTAGATATGAGCGAATTTCCAGTTTTCTGGCAAGGTGCCAGATTCATAAGGTATCTGGAAGAGACGCGAAATAATTGGAGCAAGCTCCGCTGCACACCTCTCCAGTACAATGGCAGGAATCAAGTCCGGTCCAGAAGCTTTTTTGATGTCGAGCGACAAGAGCACTCGTCTTACGGTCTTATACCTGAATGTTACTTCCCGCATAGTGTAGGGAACCCTTTGAATTGACGACACTTGGGCGTTGGAGGGGTCGTCCATGGTAGAGTTGGCAGCAAAGATCTTGGCAAGGAATTCCGCCAAGCCTTTGAGTCCGATACAATCGTTCCATCCTGACACGTAAGTGGTGGAAGGCTGCTGTGTGAGAGTTTCTTTTCTATCTGTTAGCCAGCGTCCAGAAAGACTGACTGCCATTCCGCTATGACAATGGTTTAGGCACTTCCACTGTATGAGGGATGTATTCCTCCATTCCGACGTGGATAATTTTGGTTATCGAAGAACAGACAGCCGACGCATCCACGTTAGTGAAACAGACATCTCTCCAAAGAAAGGTAGAAAAAAGTCTCTGAGCCCCTCCCAGTCGGCATGTCCGTAATGCCAAATTTTGCGGCCTGTGCGAGTTTCTGCTGCCACAGCGGATTCTGACCGAAACCTAACCTCCACAGCACCGTGGTCTGAGCTACCCAGGGGGGACAGGACAGCAGTGCTGTACGGGACAGGATGCGTGGTCAGAAAGAGAACCAACAGGCTACTGGCATGTGACGAGACGCGGGGAAAAAAAGTAGGGCCCGTCACCAGCTGGGTCAGCCCTTCAGTAAGAGCGAACGCTTCAACTGCTGCATCGTTCTTGTTTGAGCATAACCAAAGCAAATTATAGTCATTGAAATCACCCAGGAGAACTACCTCTGAAGCGGGGTGATCGATGTTCAGGAAGTCGATCTTGACGGGGAGGTATTCAAATAGGTCATCCCAGTTATGGGCCGTGGCAGCAAATAAATTTGGGGGATGTTTTGGAGTTGAGGCGAAGTCACAGAATGTCCTTCCGGCCTGATTCCAGAAAAACATCTCTGCAGCAGGAAAAACTGCTGCGGACAAAGACAACAACTCCCCCGTTCTTTCTCAGATTGGAGTGCACCTCGTAATTTGGGAAGCTAAGGTGGTTAATCGGTGCGGACACTAAGATTTTTGTCTCCGCTAAAAAAAGCATGGCGGGACGATTGGATTGCAAGTAGTGATGTACAGCATCATTGTTGCTGTTAATCCCGCAGATGTTCGCGAAACAAATGTTATCTTCGATGTTCTCTCGGACCACCCTCCACCCGTCCATTCCGAGAATGGAGTGAGCTTACATCCGGAAGTCTTAGTACTCGAGGGATCCACCATCATTAATTTCTTTGTTTTGGAGAATAAGCGCTGCATAGCTTAAAGTGGCCCGTTGGCGGACTTGTACCGCCATCGGGAAATCGGTACTGAAGTATTCCTTAACGCGTGTACAATCACTTGAACGGGAAGAAGTTGTATACTGGATACAACACCTTCCGGAACAAGCATTGGCCACGGCCCCGCTCAGTAGGGGTTGGGGTTTTTTCAGACTTCCGTTGTCGAACTTAGATTTATGGCACAGTTGTTGTTTTCTCACATTTCGAACCGGTATTGATCGCATGTAAAAATGTTGAAAATCATTGGAAAAAACTATCTGTTATATCGTAATTATTTTGATAATGTATGTTTATATGAAACAAGTACAGGAATATAGGGCTGTACATAATACATATTCACGTGTAGTGCAGCAGCTCTATGATTTAAACGAATTCAATATAGCAACATAAATAACATATGCGAGAAGAGATGCGGGACGTGTGGTATTGACTTTGAGCATCGATCGACGCAGTTTCTGGACAGGCCACAGGCGCACCGCTAAACAAATCTCATAAATGTCTATTTCCAATTTAGGCGTTCATCTAACATAGCGCTTCGCTGCAACACCAATCCCGAACAAAATCAGTCAAGCTTTACACACTTTTCAAATTACTATTGAGCAATAAACAGAACATAATACTGGTATATACGTATAAATCGTAATAATTGTACTGTAAACAAGTGTCAAAGAGGGTTTGGAATACCAAAGGATACCAAAAAATCGCAATGATCCGTTCCTATAGCTATAACTTATAGTTAGTATGCTTCTGTCGCCATGATGTGTCAGAAAGTAACACAATGGTGTTACATTACAAAAGCAAGTGTCAGACGTCTAGGAGGGGGCGCGCGACCCCGCGCCCCCTCTAAATCCTCCACTGTAGCGCCGAAGGATATAATGTGCGAGATCAATAATAGCCTTATCAAACGAGATAAGTATTTGATCACTATTAACACCATATACCAGAAAATATTGGATTTTTCATCACGATCATGACTTTTACAATTCATTTTAGAAATACTTCAAAGTATTTAGTTGACTGATGTCGACAAACTCAAGGTACAATCATGTTTTTCTTCTGTTAACGTTAAAAGCCGCTTCTCAGCATCACGCTGACCAACATTACTTAATTCTCAGTCATTTTCAAATATTATTTACCTATGGAATTAAATAGTACTTCTCAATAAGGTATTTTGGCCAATAATCGTGACTTCTGTGGTTAATACGAGTACTGAAAACAAACTTTTTTCTTGGTGGGTTTAAGTCTACCATCAGCCAATAAAAATGTACTCCTGTATGACGTATACCCTGATGATTACTCAATAAGGATATTAAGTTGTATTATGCCACATACTGCGAAAGCATTAGATATCATAGACATCAATCACTAGCTGCTGCATTGTCGGTCTCAGAAGAGGCTCCTCTCGAGGGTTATACATCTCTTAATTAAAGGATTTGATGAACAAGAGTCACAGTGACATGCTATAGCCATAGCAACCTTCTGTTATGCGAACTAGTAAATAACGCAAGTAGGGATGCGCGAGTCCTAGTCTCAAACTACAGGGTGACATTGTTTTAAAAATATGCTTTACTAATTGGGAATTCAATGATAAGATCTGCTACAAGTCGTGCACCTTTTGCTTGCCGTTCTTTCATAGTGTTATTCATATGTAACTTTCGGCGAGATTTCGGGCGTTATGACGGTGATTCTATTACTAATATTGTCTTTCGAGTACGCAATGTGTCCCGTCTGATTCTTTATCACATATGCATTCAAATATACCCAAATAAGCCATAAGTGAGCCGACCCTCTTACCCAGAAACCAGAGTGTATTTACCCCAAACTATTTTACGTGTGCATCAAAGTTGTGGTTTGGATTATAATACAACAAAAAACTAAGTTTAAGTTAACTGAAGAACTCATAAATCCTCAACAGTAAATCCATAAGATATCTCAAACATACACAAAACACAAGCCTACAACCCACCCTACACTATCAAGGTTCTTATTATTGATTGCACAGCTAAAAAATTACTCTCTTCTGATAAAAGCTGAACCGATCTAGAGCGAAACATTTTAAGGTGCCATATCCCGGCGTCAGAAAAAGATATTTAAGCAAACGCAGTGGCATTGAGATTATTTTCATTTTTTTAGGAAGCGAAAGGTAATTCGCCATGTTACATAACCTTAAATATAGGCAAAAATTTCATTTTTATACTTTTAGAGTGAAATATTTCTGCACTAGAGCCAATTGGTGCAAAGATTTAGATTTATTGCATCAAAAACCTTCGGGAAAATATACTCTGGTTCCTAAATAAGGAGGTCGAATCACTTTTGTGGACCTGTGTAATTTATTATAACTTGTCTCTCCGGTTAGCTGATGGCGAACCGCTATAATCCACCATTGACAATGCCCACCTACCCTAGGTAGATGGTTCTGTCGCTCATAATTGGGGTTAGAAACAGCTAATTCAATCAGCTGATGAGTCAGTTACGACCACCTGCCCCTTTTTATTTACCCCAGCCGAATGTTTCGTCGATACACAACCGTCTCTTTACTGTCGAATTTATATTTGTTGTTTCTGTTACAGGAATTGTCACCTCTTCAAAGTTGAATGAATGTGGTAAGTTGAATTGAATACTATGATTTTGAAGGTTTGACCTGATAACACTTAGCAAATATAGTATTGTTTTGGCCACGCAGAAGTTCGAATTAGTTTTTTTATATACTATTTTTAGAGGTTTAATGTAGGGATGGACCGAGTACTTGGTTTGTACCCGGTATTCGGCATATTCGGCGCATTTTACCGAGTACCCTGTTTCGCCGAGTATCAAATTACTCGTCCGGGTAATTACTCGGTCTGAACGCGAGACAAATATGTAAATGAAAAAACTTCAAATGCGATGTGTTAAGTCTCAGGTTCTTGAAGTGCTTTCCAAATATCAACGCTATCTCAAAAAATAGCCAAGGCTTTAGCACATTTTTGTCAGAATCAGTTGATTGATTTTGACGATTTTTTAGTAAATGTAGACTTGCTTTGTCTTCTTCAGTAAACTAGTGAGTTTACGGTATTTGTATAGCTTATTTTTTGGTAAGTTCATCCAGTTACTGTGACTGATTACACTGAATTGGAACAACATTACATAACATATGCAAGGGAATTTAGAAGCATTTCGCGTTTCTGGAATGACACTCTTTACTCTTACATAAGGATACCTTACATTTATTTCTTCCCGAACCTGAATTTGACCCACCATGACAATGAGTCGTTTTCATTTGTGTTTCTTATTTCTATTTGGGAAATTTGGACTGCATGGGGCTGACATTGCCTTCAACAAAAAGTTTCAAATGTCGAGCATGAAATGGAAGCCTTTGAATATAAGGCATCGATCTACTGGTAAAACTTCCGTTCCATAAGTCTAAAATATCGCTGAACATTACCTACTTCTCGTGTTAATATTGTCTTAAAAATGTTTTTTTTAATTATATGGTTAAAATTTCAAATCAATATTGCAGTTGCCGAATCGCTCAGACTCTTAAATTTCAGGAGAATGACTAAACATCTAGCAGTTGGAAGTCTGTAGATATTTAGATAATACAGGTACAACACAGATCTTCTTTGTGTGGTATGTTAATTTCTTGAAAAGGTAAATCTAATACAGTCTTAAAATTAGTGATAGTAATTAAAATGAACCAGCGTACCGAGTATCCGGCACTTGGTATGCCGGTTTGGCAGAGTACTCGGTACTATACTGTAACTAGCTAGAACAGGGTGGTATTTTAAGCTCTGAGTGTACGATTTACACATTCTAAATAATACGCATTTTATTCGTGTGACAGTATGTCCCACAATCATCTTGACAAACTTTGACATATTAGAAGAACGTATGTTAATATACAAAAATTGGGAAAATATGGGCCTACCGTTTTGATTCATTTCTTTATTACAATTTTAATTTTTATATTATGCTCACAAGATCCCATTCATTTGTTATGATAATCTTGAGTAAAATGGTTTATTAACTTTTGGACTTGTTTTAAGGAGAAAGCTTCCATATAGCGATCTGCTCGAATAAATAAAATATTTAAAAATAACGATTGTGCTACTTTAACAAAATATGGGTCTGCAAAAGAACTAAAAAATCCGCGGAGGCATATAGCGATCTCTCAGAAACAAGCTACAATAACGTTTTTCATGAGAAAATAGTCATTTTCAATCGTGATCTGGTTGCCTTATTAGGTCCTTGACTGTTTCGGATCAGATGTCAAATGGCTTTGTTTGCTCATGCGCTTTAGCTATGGGCCTTCATTCCACACCACTCGGGTGATTTTCAATTTTTTTTCCTTCAAGTAAGTTTGTCTGATCGTCATGAGATACGAAATCCCTCGAAAATTTGCCAAGTTATACTTATTATACCGAGTAAATTATAGTCGGCTTTATTTGCTAACTCAATGTGGATTTTGCACTACGATTCAGCTGATGAGCAATGAAAGAATAGCTGATGTCGCGCGGCATCCTGTTTGCCTGTAACACTATTGACTATCAGGCGGGCCAAGCTATACTAGTGAATAAGAAGTTTGCATTTTTGGGAAATATCTCATTTGCATTAAAATTTGATGTGTTACAACTTTTTGCAATTCAATTTTGTGTCCTTAAAAATCACCACGTATTGTTTTTCCATTGATGAGCTTGTTTACTTGTAATAAAACATTAAAAACAGTCAAAATTAGTAATCATGCTAAAAGTAAGGACCGCGCATGAATATTACCATAATTAAACTGAAAGGAAGAATAAAATCTGGTCCCGGTCCTGAGATGAGATGACGCCTCAACACTTCCACGTTACAAAGCCTGATACATTGACGTAAACTAATAGTGCTTGGAACTTGTTTCGTTGAGATGTTGCTTGTTGTTAGAAGAATTGTTATTTGGCTATTTCTGTTGTTATTGTTAGGGTTATATTTCCTTAATTATGTAGGGTGAGACTGGGAGTGGAAGTATTGGATGTCAGGAAACAAGTAGAAAGCTTCGTAAGGCACTGAAAAAGGACGCGAAAGAAATCATGCTCAACGTGTTCAATTATTTGAAAAAGACTATGTCTCAGGGAGATACACTAACGCGTTGCGAAAGCATGACAGGCTCCACAGTTCCATTTGGAGGGACGAAAGGCCATTAAACTAAATGGCGGCAGCAAAATGGCGTTAAGACATACATTCATTCTTTATTAGGAATGATATACCAACCCTTGAGGCTATACATGCAAGGATCAAGAGTAATGAATTTATACCCCAAGTACTGAGGAAAACCCTGCACGAACTTAATCTTTATTACTAAACGCGTAATCGGAAGTCAGGTGTCGAAAATACCTAAGCGCAATAATTGAATATATAAATATGTTATATTATTTGTACGAGACGTGGGTAAATGCAGGTCACACAGTTAAAAAACCGGGATAGACAAAAATTTATTAAGTAACCGAAAAGCAAGCATTGAAGGTTTGTTATCAAGTCTTCTTGCACCGTCAGGGAAAGGTCAAAGATTGATCGTTACACATATTGGCATCGATAGTGGATTTTTAGAAGGATGCAACTTGACTTTCCTCTTTAAGAAAGGAGGTGATTACCATGACGAAATGAATGCCAGCTGCTTCGAGAACCGGTTTCAAGGGGTACTTCAGCGAGTTGAACCCAACTGTGTGATTGTCATGGATAATGCTTCCTACCCCAGTCGTCGAGCCGAACGTGTACCAAATATGGGGTCTCGAAAAAGAGAGATGCAGCAATGGTTGCGTTTGACGATTCATGTGTGAAAGCTGAACTATACAAAATAATTAAATATCACAAATATGCGAACATTAGTTACGTGATTGATGAGATGGCCCGTCATTTTGGTGTCACTGTGCTGCGTTTACCGCCCTACAATTATGAACTGAACCCAATAAAGCTCATCTGGGCTGAAGTGAAGGGTTATACTGCGCGCCATAACACAACTTTTATATTACCAGACGTAAAGGCTTTGCTAGATAATTCCATATAGCTAGTAATGCCTGAAGCGTGGCAGAATGCTGTCCGTCATGTTGTGAAGGAGGAAACAAAAATGTGGCAGCTTGGCCACAACATCGACAAGATGATGGAGCCAGTTATAGCCAATCTTGGCGAAGAAGGCGTCAGCTTATTATTTTCAGATAGAAGTGGAAGCGACGGCGAATCAAGATAGGTAGACTTAATTAACTCATGTATAATCAGAAAAAAAACTGACAAAGGTAATCTCCAAATTTCTGATCTATAATGTCTTTCAATACATTTCCTTGTTTATTAAACATATGAAAGAAATCAAGTTCACCCACTTAAAAAATTCATACCCCGCCACTGACAACCCGACTATCGGTGGTTGAGTGATGTTCACGTGAACATTGATGAGTCATTACAGTTTTAGATAGGTCTTTTTTGATATTTATATGTGTGCAGGAACATCATAAGGGAGGAGAAGGCGTACATCTTTACCTACTTGCCGCTCAGATATTCAGCAGAATCCTCTAAAGGTATCAGGTCGGAATAAAAAGTCAGGATCGCCACAAATTCTGCATTATTGCATCATTGGTTCGTCTGATAACCCCGCATCTTGATTTTGGTCAGTCCCCATCTAGAGCTCAGGTTAGGCTCATCCTTCCAAAAGGCTCTCACCTGCACAATTTGTATTGCGTAACGTTATTTGTTGCATTTTGCGACCGCGCTGCGGTGGAAATCAAAGATAATTGTAAGAGAAAATGAAAACAAAATATTAAATGGTCGAACAGACCTCCTTTTTGGGTTTGACAGTAACTTAACCGATTGTAGCAGCCTGTGCGAACATTTTCTGGAGTAACATATTGGCAACGCGGCAGATTGCACGGCTTTCTGTGTCACCGTTGCTAGGCAATGTGGTGATGACCTTCGCTGTTCAGCCGGCTTCTATCTCTTTCAACATGTGTTGATACACAGTTCTCGCGCTTCTAGCTCGTACACACTGTACTCAAGCCGACAGACAAATTTAGTTTTACCTGCAGTTACTAGAAAACAAATCCCATATGGAAAGTGGCAGAAGGCAAAGTATAAATTGTTCCATTTCATGACCTGTTACTGAAATAACTCCGTATCATAGCTCGAAACGAATTGATAATTGAAATTGTCCACCCCATGACAACTGTATTCCATATTTAAAGAATGGTTTAGGTTTTATAAATGAGGTTTACACCCCTCAACATACCATAAATTCCAAGTTTATCGCATCTGCGAAATTTTGGCATTTAACTATTTTAGCTCATATGTATTTTAAACTTCCGTCAACATTTTAATAACTAATAGCATTCCTAGACTATTAAGTGTTATTTCGGAAAAAACCTGCGAAACTTTGTTATACTTTATCAAAACAACCAAGTGAGGCTCACACAGTAAGCAGAAGGTGGGCTCACACAGCTGTTTGTTGTCTTTTACAGCCTGGTTGTAAACTTTAACGGCCGTTATAACGTACACACAGGAACCAGGTTGATAGACATTTAGCTTTTATTTTATGACGAAGGTGGAGATAAGACTTCAGCGGTCAGGTTACCTAATATGTCACTTATCAGTTACTCCGATTCTTACT